TCCCCACCTACTTGCTGTTTGCAAGGGGTAACCAATCAGAAGCAACTTGCCTTAAAGAGAGAAGGAAATAAGCTAAAATAGCTTCTTTAAGACAGTGGATGGTAGTAGTATTAGACATAAAATGATCATTTTGAGCTGTGAATCACAGAGCAACCTTAGAGTCCAAGAATTAAAAAATAAATAAATAAATCAGAGATATGGCACTTTATTTTGTCCTGTCTCCTTCTGCTCTCTTTTCTTTCCCCTCCTCTTATCACCAACCAATCGCAGCAGATGGCTGCCCCTCCCTGAGCTTGGTTCTTTATGAGGTTTCTTCCTGTTAAAAAGGAATTTTTCCTTCCCACTGTTGCTATGTGTTTGAGTCGTGTGATTGTTAGGGGTTCTTTCTAATATTGTAGGATTTCTCTTATAAAGCACTTTTAGGGAAATGTTGTTGTAATTTAGTCCAATATAAGTAAAACTGAATTGAATTATTAGGTGCTATTAAGCCTCCGAATGCCTTTTCTATCACTGATCTAAAACTGCAAGTAGAAAATATTTATGGTTAACTTACAGAGTGAACCACTGAATAGTATTTTATAAACTTAGATATAACTGGAGCCACAAAGCTTTTGTACTTATGACTCTGCAAACACATCATTTTAAAAGTCTACAATCAAGAGTTCATGAATGTAAATACAGAAGATTTTACAACAAGGTGCAGACAGCTGGTTACGCTAATGAATATGGGGCTAGATTAGACTTTGGCAGCAAGCATTTAAAGGAGCCTGCACAGTTCTGATGAACTTGTACCAGAATGATGAGCAGAGACAAGTATGGAGGAGGAGAGAGACTGCTCATCATCCAAAGCATCTGTCAAACACAGTGGAGGCAGTGTTATCGCATGGCTCCAAAGGCAACCCAGGAGTTTCTCAAGGCAAAGCAGAAAAGCAAGGAAGGTCAAGCAGAACATCTCAGTGGATTCTAGACTTCAACTATTAAGAACAATGTGCATCATCCAAACACTTAACGAACCTAAATGTGAGAGATATAAAATTACGCACGCACATACCGCACTGCCAACACTTTTATTTATGATCTTGTTTGCATGTAGAATAGTATAATATTTGGTATTCTTAGTTTAGCAAAGGCAGGACTTTTGATTTTTGTTTGTTTGCTTTAAGTTTATGTTCAAAGCATTGCATGTTTCACCAGAATATAAAATAAATCAGTAAAAGTAAAGGTAAAGTAAAATAAACATTAAAAGGTTGTAGTTAGTAAACCGTTGATGTGTTAATGAAATCATTTATGATTGTAAACGAGTATTGATGTGTATTGTTGTGGCTGTTTTCTCTGCTGTGTTCCCTTTTGGAAGCTGAAATGTTCCCCCGCAGAGAGCTCTTGTTTCTTTCTCATCCCCTTAATGAGTCACATCCATTCTGTCATAACAGCTGAAAATAATATCACATAAACAATGGCTGCTTACAGCAACACAGCTCAGCACTTAGTAATGTTAGCCGTTCATTGTGTTTGTGTTTCACAAGTCAAAATGTCTGCTGTGAACCAGCTCTGTTTACCTGATAGGGTTTAAATTATATTAACCTTTATACTGAGCCGCTCTGCTCTTTCATCACCACTGGAGAGCTGCAGAAACAGTGCAACATGGAAACTTGGGCACAAGTTTGCTCCCTGTTTCAGTTTCCTAATGATGAACATTTTATAAGAAGTCGAGCTGAATCCAAGTTGTTTCCTAGCAACAATACTCTGACGAGATGTTCTATAGTAACCATCATGATCTGTCTTTAGTGTTTGGTCTCCTATAGCTGAAACAGAAGCTGTTTTTGTAGTATGTTTTTTGCAAGATCTGACTTGACGTTTACTTGACAGTCTTCTAGAGCTGATGATTACTCTTTTTCATAACACGTGTACATGCACGCACTGCAGAAAAGCTGAGAGAGTACAGAGCTCCTGCAGGACTAATTGGTGTTTAATTTTCTGTCTAAGACAAGCATGAGGTTTGGATAGAAACCCTGTGTAGTGCAGCAGAGCGAGTCCACACATGAAGGTGTCAAAACTCTCCTTGTCTCGACAGGGAACAGGAAAGAGGGGCGGGCAGTGAAACGACTGTGAGAGGATCTCCAGAGCAGTAATTATATGTGGGTTTAGGTGACCGTCTTGGCTTTGGTTGATTCGTTTAACACTTTGTTGTGCTGGTTACCACCAGTAATTTTGTCTTAGGACTGTCTCTGGATTTAGTCCGATGAGTTTAACTGTTGTTTACAGGCAAGCGCTGCTTTCTGATCCAGCTCAAGACAAGAATTGTGCCTAGTGTAAACACAAAGTAGTGTTGCAGGAATTTAGTCAACATCAAGGTAGCAAAGAATAACAGAACTTGAGCCATATGCTGAATGTAAAATTTGAATCAGTGAATTATTACAAATTACTAAGAAAGACTTCTACATAATTTTTATGCATCCTGATAAAATTTGGGCTTTTGATGATTTCTTTGAGCTGCAAGTTTAAATTGATTGGTTAAAAGTATACATACAACCCAGTAATGTGTAGTTAATTATCCCCCAGGGTGCTTTAGGGGTTCGGTTTGTAGGGCTTGATTACGGGTTTTGAGAAAACATTTGGACTTGCTCCACTGACAAAAGGCAGGAGACTGGAGACCAATTAAGGGGGTTCAGCTGACAGCAGGAGGGAACAGAGAGAGAACAGATTATTACTGATCGGGGAGTGGGAAGATCCACCATCCAGGAGGTGAAGACAACGTGTGCTGCACATGCCCACTTGATGTGGGGCTGCTGTCCAAGTGTGAGGAGAAGAACTGAGGTCTTTGACTCCGCCCTAAGGCAGACCTGCACTCCCGAGGAAAAACTAAAAAGCAGTTTTAACAGCCCAGAGTATGCTACTATCACCTGCCACCATGCTTGACAGCTGTTCTTAGGTTTGAAAGCCTCACCTTTACTCCTCCAAGCATACCTTTTCTAACATCTGAAACTCCTGTAAGCACTGTAAGCAGACTTGTGGGTAATTTTTGCAGAATGTTTTTCACAAAGAAGAAAAACATGTGCATTAAAAAATTAATTATTGTCACTCAAATGCTGTCCTATCTTAACAATAACATTTGTCTTATTATTCTGAGTGGCCACAAATTACTCATTTTACTCTGCAGCAGGCAGCAGTTTTTAATGAACGTGCTCTGAAAACCCCACTGTAAAATCCCTGTTCAGCATCAGATAACAGACACAGCTGGTTGATGTAGTGGAGCATGTCTGAAGAGCCTTAAAACAGAAATATGTGTGCATATTTAACTTAAGCCCAACTGAATGATGTTTTTGTCTTAAAAACAACACTCACACATCAAAATGCTTTCTCTAATTTGAAGTCAGCGTTGGTACACTATTAACTACACTGTGATCAACACAGGTTTTCTGTGACATGTTTCAGTACTTCATTGTACACTTTTTGGCTGCAAACATAATATGTGGACTTGTTTTGACAAACATGAAATATTCTGAAATAACTGACTCATAAAAAAAAGCTGTTTTCAGTATTTTATACACATTCATCAGAACAGGTGGAAGACTGGAGCCTAGATATACATTAGAAAATTATACAGTATTCAACTCAAGGCTCTATAATAAATACATAAACACTCTGTTTAGGGTTAAGACAATATCTGAAAACAACATACCATCACCAGATACTTTAGGTACATACTTTAGGGCAGGGATAGCTCAGTAGGTAGAGTGGTTGACCCATGATCAGAAGGTCGGGGGTTCGACTCCACTGAACGGCTACCCTGAGGTACCCCTGAGCAAGGTACCCTCCCTACACACTGCTGCTCCCCGGGTGCTGCATTGGTGGCTGCCCACTGCTTCACTGGGTGAATGGGTTAAATGCAGAGGAGTAATTTCCCTACGGGGACTAACACATACACATTACACATTTGCTAATGACTGTCTTCATGGCATTCCTCAGAGATTTTGATCCACATTGACATGATGGCATCTCACAGTTTGTTAGCTATACATCCATCCAAGTGACTCGTGAGTATAGTAGCATAATTAGATACACTGAAACCTGGAAATATATGTGTCCAATGAACATAATCGTGTTATCTTAAACGTTAATTTGTTTCAACAACTGCAGTTTTTGAGCTTCTTTGGAACCTAGTGTGTCGTACCTCCATATCATTATTATTATTATTATTATTTTATGTCATTCTCAGTGTGTTTTCTTTATAAATATTAATGTCACTCATGTGCAAAATAAGCAAATTCGCAAAACAGTTAAGTCATGTCAAGTCTATGTGTTCACATTTTGGCTTCAGTGCCCTCAAGCTAAGGTTTAAGCTAAGGTTGTCAAGAAGCGCTGTGTGGAAGGCAGGAGTTGGACCCAAAATGCAGGCACTCAGGCACGAGGTTTAAACACAAAGAACTCAGCTTTATTTGCTGGCAGGGGAAGTCATACAAAACTAAAATGGGGAAAATACGAACTATAATTTACAGAGAGGACCACAAGGAAACACACAGCTTGAGGGACAACGCAACACTGACTCAGAGAAACACAGAGAGTGTTTAAATACACTGGGAAGTAAAGAGGGGAATGAGACACAGAAGGAGGGCACAGCTGGGAGAAATCAGAACTGACGAGACAAGGAAGCAAAGCAGAACACATTCACATAAGACACAGACCTTCAAAGTAAAACAGGAAGTATAACACGGAGACGCGAACTTGACACGGTGGAGACAGCAACTAAGAAACAGAGAGACTTACACGGAACAGAGGGGGCACAGAGAAACATGAAGGGCAAGGGATCAAAACTAGAAACCATTGAATAAATCACACGAGTACAAAATACAAAAATCACAAAGAACTAAAAACGCTGGGTCAGGAGACCCAGGATCCTGACAAAGGTAGTGCCAAATACACCACTTTAGTGTTGTTCTACACAGAGCACCACATGGGTATCAATACGCACATGAAAAGATTGCCGTATAAATGGCTTGACTGCCTTGGACAGTTTAAGGGTTTTTAAAAAGTGCTTAGACACACTTGTTATGTGTTTTCAGAGCATAAAGAATAACGTCAGACGAAGCTCGTGTTTAGCTGAGATTTCTGTGGGTGTGGCTTCACCGTGGGCGTGGTCACTGCAGGTCTAGGTATTGAGGCAGGACGTCGTTCCAGAACTGCTGAGAGTCCTCAGCTTTCGCCCCCCCTGCAGCTCTCTGCCTGGTCCTCGGTGCTGGTTTGGGTGCTTCTTTCTGTTTGCTGCTTCTGTCTGGTGGCGGTTTCTGTCCCTTCTTTTTTTTTTTCTTTGCTGATTTTGCTTGGTCCTCCTCTTCCTCTTCTTCTTCCTCATTCTCCTCCTCCTCTTCTTCATTTTCATCTCCTTCTTCCTCTTCCTCAATTCCCTCTTCTTCTGCCTCCTCCTCCTCCTGGTTCTCATTTCCCTTTTCCTTATTCTCTTCATCCCTTTGTTCTTCATCACCCTCTTCCTCACTATCCTCATCTTCATCATCAGTTTCCTCATCAATACCTTTCCTGTCTTTCCTTTTTCCTCTTAGCCTTGTCTGTTTTTGCTGTTCTTCCTCTTCTTCCCCTTCCTCCTCACCTTCCCCCTCCCCCTCCTCCTCCCCCTCCTCCCCTTCATCACTCTCTAACAGGTTTTTTTTAGCAGGCTCCATGCTTTTATTTTTTCCTTTTGGTTTCTCCTCTTCCTCACTTTCATTCTCTTCCTCAGCTTCTTCTTCTTCATCCCCTGTATCCTCCTTCTCTTCCGCAGCTTCTGTTTCTTCGTCCCCTGTATCCTCCTCCTTCTCTTCCTCTTCTTCCTCAGCTTCTGTGTCTTCATCCCCTGCATCCTCCTCCTCCTCTTCCTCTTCTGCAGACTCTTCCTCCTCCTCACTCTCTTCTTTGTCCTCATCCTCTCCATCTTCTGTCTCAGCTTCCCCATCACCTACGGACTCACTTTCTTCCCTTTCCTCACCTCCTTCTTCCTCTTCTTCTTCATCACTTTTTTCATCTTGGAGTTCCTCTTCATCAGCCTCGCTATCTTCTTCCTCCTCTCCCTTATCACTGTCTTGCTCTCCTTCACTCTTATCTGCCTCTTCATCTTCCACCGAGTCCTTCTCCTCATCCTCATTTTCTGTGGAGGCATCATTTTGTTCCTCAGTTTCGCCCTCTTCATCTTCATCATTTTCTTCTTCTTCGGTTTTGGCAGATTCTGCAGTGTCTCCTTCCTCTCCGTCCTCCTCCCCCTCTGACTCTCGGTTCGTGCTCTCATCGCTCTCTGATTCATCATCGCTTTTCTTCTCTTCATCCTCACTCATCTTGCTCTCTTCCTCTTTATCCTCTTTACTCTCTTCATCACTGGACTCTTCATTTTCACCTTCCTCCTCTTCCTCCTCAGCTCCTTCACTCACATCAGAGTCACTCAATCCGTCACTTGTCTTCTTACTGCTTTCTTCCTCTCCTTCAGTTTCAGCAGCATTAGTTTTATCACTTCCTTCATCTTCATCACTCCTGCCTGTTTTCTCCTCACCCTCTTCTTCCTCAGATACATTATCTTCCTCTCCCTCTTCCGTATTGCTCTCCTCTCCTGTTTCTTTGTCACTATTACTCTCACATTCTTCCCTTTTATCTTCACTGTCACTTCCACTCTCGACATCATCTTCATTCTTTCCCCCATCCTCAGAATCCTCATCCTCTCCAGATGTCTTGTCGGATTTCTCCTCCACTTCTTTTTGTGAATCTTCCATGTGTTCACCCCTGATCTGCTCAGACAGGCCCCCTTTCACTGCCTCCCCCTCTGATGGATTACGACTGCTGTCATCATTTTCTCCTTCTTGGGATTCATTTACAAATTCCGATGGAACACCAGCTTGAGCATCTGTCTTCAGGCCATCCTCCGTTTCATTCGAGGAAGAAAAATGTGACAATGCGGAGCACAAGGACGGCTCCGTAACTGCACTCTGCTTAGTGAATTGCCTGACTTTACTGAGCGTTTTAGAGGGTGTCGAGGTGGCTTTGTCACTGTCAGACTGCACACTTGTCACTGCCTCACGAAGGACCTCAATAGCTGCACCTGCAATCCCAGCAACTGGAAGAAGCGACGCTGAATTACTGAGAATTTCTCCCCAATTTGTTTTTCCCCCATTCGTGCCCCGAGTGTCTTCTTCATCTGTTTCAGAAACACGGGAATCCATAACATCAGGCTTAGCTCCTTGCAGGGGTTTTGCAGCTCTAGGAGAATCCACCTCTGGGCTTTGAGGGGAAATTGGGTTACCTCTCACTTCTGTAGGTGTATCCTGCTGAGATGACAGCAGGCTGGAAGCTTCACTCTTTGGTTTAGCCTTTATCTTATTCTCAGAGTCAACATCCCTCTCACCTTTAACTCTGATTTCCTCTTCCTTGCCTCCTCCTCTTCGTTTTGTTTTTGCCCTCTGTTCAGCACCAGATTCCTTTGCCGTCTTTTTGTCCTTTATTTTTGACAATTTCTGCTCATCCACAGTTCCACCTTTCATCTTCAGAGTGGTGTCTTTGGCACAATTTAACTCATTTTCCTCACACTTTTCTTTGCTTTCTCCTTCAATAAGGGGATTTTCTGCACATTTACTTTGATCCTTGACTGGTGTTGGTTTAAGCTCTTGCAATTTTCCCTTAACTTGCAATGGTGTTTTTCTGGAGACAGATTTCTTTGTTTCAGCCTTAAAAGGTATTGTGTTTTCTTCCTGTGCTGCTGGCGATTTAGCATCCACTCCTGGTACAGATTTAACCTTGTGCTGATCTTTTGTTAGAGTCGATTTGACTCGCCGTGTCCCCTGACTCGCCACTTCAACAGGTTTGACGTCATCACTTCCCCTCTGAGTTGCTTCATTTTCCTTTACGGCATTTTCTGTGGATGCTAGACTGGCTGCTTGATTCACTTTACTGACCTTGATAGAAGGAGATTTCGGATCTAAAGATGATGATTTCTTTGCCTCCTTTTTTGGGGTTCTTGTCAAGACTTTCTTCAGAGAGCTGTTATCCTCTTCATTCGGTTTATTACTTTCTCTCAAATCCTCAGTTTTCCTCGTCTTGTGCTTCACTTCAGTCACTCTCTCCTGTGCATCTGTCAGCATCTGTTGTGTTTTTGTGCTATACTCTGTCGGTTTCCTCTTATCTTGCTGTGGTGATTTAAAATGCGGGAGCTGCTTTTGAGCTTGCCTGTTTTCTGAAGGTTTGATGTTGCTGGACTCCTTGGTGATGTTCTCTTTGCTGTTTGAAGACACTTTGTGATTTTTCTTTGTGCTCTTCAGAGGAGACACTTCTGTCTTCAAGGTGCTGGGGCCTTTCATAAGCTCTGTTGGCAAAACCTTAGGGGAGTTTCGGTCAGTCTTCTCGTTAGTCTGGATCTGTTGTGCAAATGGTTTTGCTTCCTTTACTGCATGTCTAAAAGCTCTGCCCTTTTTCTTTCCCTGTAACAAATCACATAAGGATTCAGTAAGATATAATACGAAAAAGAAAAGTACATTAAAGAAGGAAAGCTGCACAAGCGGAGCGGCCATCAGTATGACTGCATATGTAATTTGTACAATGTCTTATGTGTTTTTAATGCTTTAAATATCATCTTACCTACCTACTGTACTTGCACCCTACTATTATAGACTACTAGAGGTATATTTCAGTGGTTTTCAAAGTGTAAATAGAATTACAGCCTTATACTTGTGCTTGTGCAGCTTACATCCATGTCAGGGTAGACTCATATAATTAGTTGCACTGAAGACTTTAGTAGGTGTGCACGAATAATTAGTGTCAGCAGTTTGGTGAAATATATTCCCCTTCTCTTCCTGAGTTATGGCACTGACAAAAAGTGAATGAAAAAAAGTGTTTCTTCTGAAAATTATGATGTCACAGTGAACCCGCCTTTTGACCACCAATGACTGTAAAAGTTCTGTTAAATCTCAACGATTTCAATGTCAATTCATGCAAAATTACACATAAATAGATTTCATTTGTAATACCAAGAATCAAGCATAACACCACAAAGTCAAGCTCGGCTACAGTCCCAGTGGATTACCTGATGCCAGCATAAATCAGCTGTATGTGATGTCTTAGCTGAAACTTTTCTACATATTGAAGTAGAAAATCTTTCACAGGGTGTCACTGAGGTGCTATTTAATCACACAGCAGCCAGTCTGCCATTGTGAGGTGTTCAAAAACAAGTTCAGCACCTCATAAACCTTCTCTCCAAAAATCCACTCTTCTGTGGAACCGGCTTCCAGTTTGAATTCGGGAGACAGACACTATCTCTACTTTTAAGATTAGGCTTAAAACGTTCGTCTTTGATAAAGCATATATTTAGGGATGAATCAGGTCACCGTGAATCCTCCCTTGGTTATGCTGCAATAGGTTTAGGCTGCTGGGGAATTCCCATGATGCATTGAGTTTCTCTTTTTCAGCCACCTTTCTCACCCACTATGGTTTCATACACTTCTCTGCAATCATTAGTTATTAGTCATCTCTGGCACTCTGCCACTGCGCGTCTTTGTCCTATCTTTCTCCCCTCACCTCCAACCGGTAGCGGCAGATGCCTGTCCCTCCCTGAGCCTGGCTCTGCTGGAGGTTTCTTCCTGTTAAAAGGGAGTTTCTCCTTCCCACTGTCACCAAAAGGCTTGCTCATAGGGGGTCATATGATATGTTTTCTCTGTTTTCTTTGTGTTATTGTAGGGTCTTTACCTTACAATATAAAGCACCTTGAGGCAACTGTTGTTGTGATTTAGCATGATATAAATAAAATTTAAATTTCTCTCACACTTAAAGCCCACACATGTGAGGACACACATACAGTACTGTGCAAACACAAATACACAAATTTACCCCTGCAGTGAGGAGGACTGCTGGGGGGGGGCACCACATGTTGCAGTAACCCTTAGCACACAGCAAAGTAGGAGACTCTTTCTCAACTTGCTTCATCACTGGTTGTGGAAACACTGATGAGATGTGGCAAGATTCCTGAGAACTTTTCCAAAGCACTGCATGTGTGTGTGTGTATCCGTGTGTGTGTGTTTGTGTATCTAGGGGCTGGAGCCCAAACAAATTTGTGTATCAGCAGAAGCTGTCCAAATATCTGAAACTGGCTGATGAAGATTCATTAGAGATATTCAATTTTATATTTTGCTTCATTGTTTTACCAAGTGGAAAATTTCTTTACACACACACACACGTGCTTGCAAGAACACACACACATACAGTATACAGCACGTATGCTGATGTATGCACATTTCCTGGAAAAAGTCAGAGTGTTCTACGTTGCTGCTTCCTGCCCTGCAGTGCATTTAATCCAAACCAGAGAGAAGAAGCCAGAAGAGGAAAATAACAGTCGTCTCACTCTACATTTGAGACTCTGTGGAGTATACTGTATTTATCTGCTCTATCTAAGAGAAACCATCACATGATGAGCCATCAAAAATGTCTTCTCTCACCATATATGGTGAAAAGTCTTCTTTCTCTTCCACTTCTTCAGTGATTATTTGTCTCTTAACACTTTCTGAAATAACAGACAAAATTAGGTTAAACAGCTTAAACCCACTCAAGCATCAGCTAAAAGCTGGCTATAACATTTATTGCCACTTGTTGAAACCATAGAATTTAAGTACCTGTTTGTGTTGGGGCAGGATGTTCTTCCTCCTTTAGATTTTTAATGAAAACATTACTAGTCGGGGTGTAGGGCTCTTTAGGTGGCACAGGAGATGAGAATTTGTTACTTAGAGGCTTCTTAGTGGCTGCTGCTTGGTTTAGTCTAGGCTTTGCAGTCATTTTAGTAGCTACAGGACTGCTGGGGTTTAATTTTGTTATAGACTTTGGTAAAAGCAAAGGAGAGGGCACCTTTTTGCATTTAGACTTAGAAGAAGCAGACGTGGATGCTTTACTTTGAAGCGTGAATGATGATCGTGAATGTGGGCTTGATGCCTTAGAGGATAACAGTGGACTCTGAGGGGATATGGATCGAGATCTGGGGGAGAGAAGTGGGCTTCCTGTCACCTCCGATTTTGGTTTAGGGGATGATGAAGGGGTAGTAGCGTCCTTTGAAAGGGTTTTCAGAGTTAGGGAATTTCTGGATGTTTGCCGAGATGTGATGAGAAAGTCAGAGTTAAGCCGTGGGAGGCTCTGAAACTTATCCCCAAACAACTCCACAGAACGAACCTGAAAAATGGGAAACGAGATCCTCGAGTTTAAGTTTGGAAATGTATCTATGGAGCGTCAGCAACCAGCGGCAGATTTGCAGTGTGGTGCAACACTGCCCCCTATTGATATAATACAGGTCATACAAGTTTTCCAAGGGGTTCTGCAAGCATGGGTTTCAAATGTTTAACGTTTTATTATCGCATAAAATACACTTAAATACCCGTTTCATGACTGCACAGGTCAAATAAAAAATAAAAGAAAAAAATCTATTCCACCCCAACCCCTTTACTGATTTCTTTTTTCAACATGCCTGCATGTTTATCACACTCAGGTCCTCAAATAAAATGTAATATTAGACAAAGATAACCTGACTAATTACAAAATTCACTTTTTAAATTCATTATGGAAAAAAGATATCTAAACATGCCTGGCCCTGTGGGAAAAAGTAATCGGCACCCTTGTTAAATCATGAATCAACTGTGGTCAACCACATTTTTTTGGAAAGCTTTTTTGGAAGTCTGATCCATCCATTGGAGAGCACCAAGGAGAATACCACTGCTGATCTAAAACAACACAAAGGTTCGTCTCACTTTTGCCAAAAAACGTCTTGAGAACCATCAAGACTGAAATCCAATGGAGATCCAAAATGCTAGAAAAAAACCCCTCCAATGTGGCTGAATAAAAAAAAATTCTGCAGAGTAGAGTGGGCTAAAATCCCTCTGAAGAGATGTAAAAGACATGATACAAATACGTGAATGCAGTTCTTCCTGCCCAAGTGTGGCACAACCAGTTCTTAGGTTTAGGGGGCAATCATTTTTTCATTCAGGGCCAAATAGGTTTGGATAACTTATTTCCATGAATTAAACTATAACATAAAAAACAATTATTGTAGGGTCTACCTTACAATACAAAGCTCCTTGAGGCAACTGTTGATGTGATTTGGCGCTGTATAAATAAAATTGAATTGAATTAAGTGTTTTAAAAATGAGCCGTAAGTTGAAGGGTCTCACTCTGTCTCGGTGGCGTGCCCGGGCTGAGAGGGCTGAGAGTGGTGATGGTGGAGTTGGATTGATGAACTTGTTTTTAAAGATGATTTTGGTAAAACTTGACTCCAGAAAGTGGTCTGTGATTAAGACATCCTTCTCTGGCACCGCTTCTTGGCTCTCTGCTGGCCTGGGTGTAGCCAGGACCAGCATGTGGTGACCACCACAGGACACCTGACGGGGAGAGGACACAAGAAAACATCTTTGTTACAGTTAGCTGATTCACTCTCAGTCTGCTCTTCACTCTTACCTCTTACCTGCTGACATACAGGATATTACTCCCTCAAGGCTACAGCAAGATTGTTTTCGAGATTACGTTTGCCTTATTTTGAGAGAAGTTTACCTGCAGCCTGCAGATGCAAAGAAAGGAGATATGATGTGACACTACACGATCCATTCAGAGCTCATTACTGATTTAAAGGCTGATCTCTGAAAGTATCCAGGTGCTGGCTGTGAGCACAGCTTCAGCTGCTCTTCCTGCTGTGATTGGTGAAGAATATTCTGTTATCGATCACTGATGGTGCTGTGGATACATCCTGCTGTAGTAGGCTTCCTGTTACAAGCTGTGGAGCCTCTCATACATTTTATGGCCTTTTTGGAGGGAGTTGACTGATTATGAAGATTTCTTTTAAAGCCCTTCACATCACCTTCACTTACTGACTGAACAGCGTACTGAAGAAAACGTGTGCAGAGTGTCGGGCTGAACTGGTTGATGAAGTTTTCCTCCCCTAACCCGAGTTTTCCATGACGACCATCACCAAACGTGTACAGCAGCCCGCTGTCTGTGGAGCAGGAGGGAGGATAAATGCATCAAACACAGACTGAAGGTTGTCAATCCTGGCTGAAGCTGTTTTGCTTTTTACACATTTTATACACAATAACATCCTTGGTTTTTATGTAGTTCCCTTTTTAAATGCACATAATGTTTGC